GGGAGGGGAGATCTGGTGACTATATTTTCAGTGGAGGTCGCAAAGGTGTGAATAGTCAGTATATGGTGCGTTGATGGCATTGATGGAGAGTGACGATAATGTGGTCAATAGGGAGTTCTGTGTGTTGGATTGTGGTGGTGGGTAATTCAAGATTGTATTGCTGTAGGCATTTGTTGGTGGTGTAAGGTAGTTACTTGGCAGGTTGATCAGTGAAAGGAGATGGATGGAGGTGATAAAACCAGTGCTCTGCTTTCCACATAAATAGAGAAAGCTGGGAAGTCGGTGTATAAATTTTGTAATAAAATTTTAATGTCTAATAATATGGAATGTAAATGTCAGTTAATAATTTTGACCCTTGCAAAATACTTAAAGCAAATCATAAAGATTCGCTTTATTTATGACATTGACGACATCTCTCATTGTATAGAGGATGAGCCTCTCTTGATGCACCGTCTTCTATGTCTTCCCTTCCTTTTTTATCGCTCACTTGAAATTTAATTATTCCATGGCTTAATTTTCTTTGTTTTCTCTGTTTGGCTTGGTCGATACATGCAGGGTTACCATGGTGACACATCAGCTACATTCTTTGTAGGAAATGTTGACGAGGAAGCCAAAAACTTGGTGCAGGTATGACTTCTTGGTCGTACATTTACTTTCTGATTATAGGGAAATTTTAGTACCAGTTTTTGTATCTGTACTCGGCTTTTGTGCTCACGATTAAAAGCGAAGAAAATATTCTTTTTACGGCCCTGATGCTTGGAAGTTCAACTTCTTGTGCTCATTGATGATCTGATAAGTTTCTCCCAGCTTTATAAGAAAAGCAATTTTGGCAAAAATTTGGTTTCACTCCATATATTGGGAAATCTCTTCTGTCTCTACATTTCTGCCAAGTCGTTCTTTTTTTTTAATCATATTTGACCATAATATAAGGCTATTGGAGCATATGTTGATTTTCTGGCTCTATCCTTCCAGATACAGAATAATGCCCCTTATCTTTATTGCCTCTGCAGACAACCTATCTCGTTTGACAAGTTTACAGGGCATGTAGCTGAATAAGCTAATGAGACTTGTGTATTATAATGTAAAAGTAGGAAAAGATATTCAAGTATAATATTTGAAAAACAAGTGTGTTTGGGAAAATACCACATCTTTTTGTGAATTTGTACTCTTGGCAGAAGCGAAAGTTGTATAAGATACTGTTAATTACAAAGGTGTGTCAAATTAATTAGAATGTCAATGTAAATAATTTCACATAAATTGGGATAGAGAGTATCTGTTCTTTTATAATTGAAGGTGATACATGTTCTTGTGCAAGTCCTAAATTTTGTGACGGCAGCATGCCAGCACACTATCTAAAAGTTATATATAGCTGTTTTGTTAGTTTACTTGTATCATGTGAATGTCAAATTAATTCTTGGTGACCTGGTCTCAGCATGACTTGAAATGTGTGTGCTAGTGAGCCGTCCTGTAGCTGAGTTCTTTGACATTATAACAACATATAGTAAGCTTTTCCATATCATTGAGACATCTCAGGCCATATTTTCCAGGCTGTCATTCAGCAAACTTCACACAGAACCCATACTTGATTGTTGAGATGGTATGGCTGTATGAGTGAGTGAGAAAAAGCTTGTTATCTTATTCATCAAACAAAAAGAAGACAAAAGAAAAAGTTTGTTATCTGTTCCCAAAATGGAACAATCACTTTTATTTGGACTTTTAGTTAAGGTTCAATTTTCGGATGACATGGTAAACTAAGTCTAATTATTGATGCATGTTCGAAATTTTTAGCTTAACTGCATAAATGACAATTACGCGGAATTGGCTAACCTAATAACTGATACTACACCGTATTCTGCACTGATCGCTGGTGATCAGAATTGCAATCTGAATAATTGAGAAACTATGAAGAAATTGTAGTTTATATCATATGTTGTCACCTCTTTGCGTCATTTGAATTTCTTCCTTTGTACTTCTAGATTTTCTTTATGCTTTAACTTATCAACCTAAAAATTGTCTTTTTTTCTTTGTGCTGTGGAGCGAAACACTTTATTTCATTGTACTGATGCATCTGCAATAATCCCACCTATTGTTTTCTATTTGATGCCTCAGGTGACTAAAGGATGCTTGGACAAGGCAATATCAATATGTGCTCCAGGAGTGGAATTCAATAAAATTGGCAAGATTATACAGTAAGACGTCTGCCTAAATCTTCTATCTTTTTGTATTTGTACGTCTTAGTCTGCTAAATATTTGAAAGATTTGTTTTGACATTAAGGTCAATTGGTCATGAATAATCGATTTCGTAACTAGCATGGTTTGGTTGTTTATTTGAGAAATAGGACATTTATATCAGATAATTGTTGTAAATTCTTAGAACGCAGTTATGATTAATCTTAATATAGACCAATATATTGTTTAGCATTGCAAATTTTATTGACGTTAACGTTCTATTTGTAGTGACCTTGCAGATAAACATCGCTATGGGGTTGTGGAACAGTTCGTTGGCCATGGAGTGGGACGTGCTTTCCACAGTGATCCAGTCATCCTACATTACAGTAACTTTCATGCTTAATATACTAACCTCCTTTCTGCTCTTTCTATGTTGTAGAAAAATGGCCAATTGAGCCGATACGATTTGCCTTGTTTGCTGCAAAACTTAAACTGTTTTAATCATAATGTATGAATGGAAAAACACGATCTTTACGTAGAGTTTTCCACTTGTGCCATCCATTGTTGCACCGGGATATCCAGCGTGCTAACTGCTGCTACTACACCTCAAATTTGTATTTTCTTGAGATATAATACTAATGGTGGGGATTCATCATGAATTGGCTAATTTTATGCAATACTAATGGTGTTATCTCTACTGTTGTTTTAGGGGTTAGAAGTAGAGCATACTTTAAATTTGTTTGTGTTGCACCCTATATAATATGTAACTTATGTGTCTAACGTAAAATCGCATCTCTGTTGATGACTGGTTCTAAATATTAGTCATCTAAGATGGATGAAAATAAGTTACTTCGGGCTCTTGGCTTGATGCTGTCTCATTACTTCGGGCTCTTGGCTTGATGCTGTCTCATTACTTCGGGCTCTTGGCTTGATGAAAATAAGTTACAAAATGTCTCATTCACTTGCAGACCTCCATACGCAGTTTTCTAAAACATAATAATGAGAAGTTCCAGTTTTAAAGAGATTTCCTCCAAAAAGAGATCATAGTTCTAATTTGGTCTCTGAAAAATAATCTCTTCGATCTAACAGTTACTTTTTTGCTTGCTTTTAATCTTATTCTTGTTTTCCTCCTAAACCCATTGACATTTTTTGGGTAACAATTTTCATTTTGCTATATTTTGTTTTCTTTTTCGCAGGGAATAATAGTCGTGGACAGATGGTGCTCAATCAGACATTTACTATTGGTAATGTACAGTAATTAATTAATTTCACATTGTTGAAGAGACTCACTGTGATATAGATGCAGAATGTTTTTCCGCATTAAACATATCACTTGTAAGCTGGTAGCTACTGTATTGTGGTCGTTTTCTTGTCCGTGGTTTGCCAAGAACTGAGGTTCCACAGTGCTTATTGTTATGAATCACATGGCTAGTTTACGTGGAACTCTAACTTTGTTGTGATTGATACCACTGTCATTTTTTGGAACATCAAAGTTTACTACATTGTTGCGTGAACGAAAAGGATGTATACGAGACATTGATTGCTGAATTTAGCTTGTTACTATGTTGTACAGAGCCGATGCTGACAATTGGTAGCATAGATGGAGTAATGTGGGATGACAACTGGGCAGTTGTTACAGAAGATGCTAGTCTATCGGCACAGTTTGAGCACACCATTTTGATAACCCAAGATGGTGCTGAGATTCTAACGCAGTGCTAGTGATATTCCAGCAACACTACAATCCGTATACCTAAAGGACAATTCGTGAAAGTTTTGTTGTACAATTCAATTCATTGCCTCTCTTGGTAACTACAATTCTCAACTCGCCCTGTTCTAAGTTTAGTGATGCACTTGCTGTACTATTCTTTGGTTTGTGCTATAGAAATTAAGTGCTATTGTTACCCTAACTTGGAATATATAGGGTGTTTCAATTCTTTAATCCTTTTCTGGATGTTCATTTTCTCTCTCTAGTACTGCGTATTAACTCAGAAATATCTAAGTCGAATTTTTCAGACATGATTTTGTTATGTATTTTGTAAACTAACTTGAGTTATCAATAAGAATGGAGTTTTAACGTGTCTAAACCATTCTTTAATACCCTATTTTTGTAATAAGATATATGGAGATTGTCTCTTGAAATTCCTCCATTTACTAGTATTATGACTGTAAACCGAGGAAGGGCTCACATCCCTCGCATAAACCTCGTTCCAACTAAAATACAAAAAGAAAAAAACAATACTGGGCAAAGAAAAAAGAAAAGAGAAGAGGTTCAATTAAGGAGCTCGTTCAAGATTTTTAAGCATTTTAAAACTTAAACCCCTTCTAAAAGTTTTTATTTATGAAAAGATTCATAGTTTGGCCAAATTCTAAGCTATTTGGTTATTTTTCTCCGAAAGTTTTCTCGTGCACCTCCTAAGTTAGGCAATGGTTACTCTAAACTCACGTTTATTGCGTGGAAGACTCCTACCAATACTCAACAAATGAGATATGTTCTAAATTTTGAAGCACTTTAAACCCCTTCGCAATTTGGCACTAGTAAACTGTTTTTCACAGGAGTTTGGAAAAGAAAGACTTTATTTGCAGTTAATTAGTGGGAGGGGTCTAGCGATCAACCACAGGAACATGGGAAAACTTAGTAGTTTCCTTAACCAAATCAAGCTCACTGCAACCCTATCCGTTGGTGTTATCTATCTACAATGTATGTGGCTAAGGGTGTGTTTACGAAGGAAAATGTTTTCGTGGAAAATGATTTCCGGGAAAAGTTTGGTTGGTGAGTGAAAACAATTTTCCGGAAAATATTTTTTAGTGTTTGGTTAGAGAGTATAAAATATTTTTAGGAAAATAATTTTTTATGCTACTCTCCTCAACCCACCAGGGGCGGCTCAAGGGTCAAGCCACTAAAGCAAAGGCTTTAGGCCCCAAATTTTGAGGGCCCCAATTTTTTTTTTGTACTCGTATTTGTATTGAGACCCCGACTAATCTAGATTCGTACCGCATAAGACCTAGTAAAAGAGAGAACATGTTTTAACATGATATTTTTAACTACAAGACTCGAACCCAATATATTTAATTAAGGTAAGTTGGATCAAATACATCTCACAACAATCTTTAGAGGCATGATCTAAATATATTGGGTATGTTAAAATAAAAAATAAAATATTTTATAAAAATTCAAGATAACTTTTAATTTAGTAGTGATGTAACTGTTTGAGCAAAAAATGCAGAAAGAGAATCACTTCCCCTAAACCCTTGTCGCGAATATAAAACTTTTCATTATTTAAATTTTACGAGTGACATCATTAGTGAGGTTTCTATATGAATTTGGTTCTATTATCTAAGATCAACAATATCTTAGGAGAGACTAAATTATTTATAAAAAAAAACTATTAACAACTGATGTTAGGCCAAAATTTTATACTTTTAGCATATTATTCGCCCTATATTTTGTTGGTTTAAGTGAGTTATTATGCGACAATTACGCTAAATTATGTTGTTCTATGTGTATGAACATCGAAATGAATCATCGATGTTATGATAATTTTTTTTCCCTTCTGAAAGGCCCCAAATTAAAAATTGGCTTTAGGCCACCACTCTTCTTGGGCCGCCCCTGCAACCCACCTTCCCCAAAATTCTCATGTTTTCTGTACTCCTTGCCTTCCCGAACTCTATTTTCTTTAAGAATTTGATTATTTTTTTCAAAATTCACACAAACCAAAGGAACTAATGTGTTGCTTTACTTTTTCACACAAGAACAACGTTGAAATTTGATCTCGATAACTAAAAAGAAAATACTTTATTTTGTTGAAAAAGAAAATACTTTATTTTGTTGAAAAAGAAAGTATCTTTTCTACAATATGAAAAGAAATTATTTGTTGAATGTAAAGAAAATACTTTCTGTACATCATGAAAAGAAAATACTTAATTTATTGAAATGAAAGAAAATACTTTATCTACATCATGAAAAGAAAGTACTCTTTTTGTTGAAATGAAAGAAAATACTTTTTCTACATCATGAAAAGAAAGTACTCGTTTTGTTGGAAAAAAATACTTTTTCTATGTTATGAAAAGAAAATACTCGTTTTGTTGAAATGAAAGAAAATAGTTTTTCTACGTCATGAAAAAACAAAGTACTCGTTTTGTTGAAATGAAAGAAAATACTTTTACTACATCATGAGAAGAATATACTCATTTTGCTGAAATAAAAAAAGTACTCTATCTACAACATGAAAAGAAAGTACTCTTAATAATAGTTCTATTTAGGGTGGTGTCACGACTCAAAAACCTAATCTGTCGTGATGGCGCCTATCGTGGAAGTAGGCAAGCCGACTCATTTCCAAACAAACCGATATTTTCATTTCAAAAATAATTTCAATACTATTTAACATAAAACCTTCATTTAAGGAGTTCAAATCAAAGAAAACAGAAGTGCGGAAAAGAAAAGCCCGACATCAGGGTGTCACTAGTCATGAGCATCTACTATAATCTGTCTAACAATATCAAGGCTAACTCAGCCTAGAAAATAGCTAAATACAACTAGAGGAAGATAAGAGGGAGAAGAGTAGGGGCTGCAATCACCAAACAGCTACCTTGCTATCTCCAAGAAAAATCTGTAACCAGAACACTCAATAACTGCTACCATATCCAGCTACACCTGAATCTCCACACAAGGTGCAGGGAGTAACGTGAGTACGCCAATTCAGTAAGTAACAACAATAAATAAAGACTGAGCAGTAGTGACGGGCAATAAAGCATATAACGTTCATATCATGAAATCTCAGTAAAGTATAACAAGCTTTAAAAATCAGTGTTTGAATCAAATCATCTCGTTTAAACCCGGTTCCAGTAAAAATTATTTAAAGATATTTTTCCAACAGTTTTTCAAATAAAGGATCAATGCAAAGATAAGCAAAAATGATGAAATCATAAACAGCCCATCGGGCAAAACATCACTCATATACAGCCCCT